GCTTCGCCTATCAAGCGGGGAGGAGAAATCTATAACTATAATGGAACATTTTTCCGCTCGTATTGTGACAGAATAAAGCTTATATCAAAAACAGAACACAAAAAACATACAAAAACTACTGCTGATAACATCGAGTCGATTACACAACTTCAATCGTTGTACAGAATATGGACACAGAATAGTGAACTTTGTTTTGCAGTTTCTGCAAAACTAATCCACATGCCCGAATCTGTATTTGTACAAAATCCTTTTTGTGTTTTGGGATTCTCTTAATCATATATTATGTGTTAAAAAGTATAATAAAAAGCTTACGACACTCGGTATTCCAAGGCGGTCACCCATCCTAGTACTAACCGAGCCCGACGTTGCTTAACTTCAGTGATCGGACGAGAACTGGTGCATTCAACGTGGTATGGCCGTAAGCGATGATCAAGCGCTCTTCTAATCGTCTGTATCCAAAAACCAAAATAAAGAATTTGAATGGTAGATGAGGACTTTTTTTGGTGTCTTGCATAACAACTCAGAACGTTGAAAACTGTGTAATTTATTAGCTAAAAAATGTCATTTAAGATACATTTTGTGAGCTGTTAACAGATATTTAATAGACAATATGCGTTTTAAAACTGATTTTCCTTAACTAAATCACACCATTACTACTTTAGATACATTGTAATAAAATTTTTCAAGTTATAGTTAGAAACAGATTCCTTTTCCGTGAGAAATTTGACTGCCACAAACACTTTTGTCATTATGTATTCTAGAATAATGAATGTTTCTATCATTGTCTAACAGGAGATTGCACTGGTTTCGGTTTTAGTGGAAGTGGGAACTAATGCATTTAATATCACAATCATCTGTAGACAACCCCTGATGAATACCGAAGTGGAATACCGAGTGTCGTAAGCTTTTTATTATATTTTTCAACACATAATATATGATTAAGAGATTCACTATGATCTTTCTAATTCTTACTGATCTTTTTGTCAGTTAAAATGTCTCGCTTAAAAATTTTATTCTGCTTTTATCTAAATTATAACTTTTATGCACGCTTCAGGTCCGTGAATTACTTCTGAATTTGATGTGAACATTTTTCTACGAAAAAAGAATTTCAAGTCATGACTTGTGATTTGACTTGGTGTGGAAAAACCCGAGACTTGACTTGAAAGAAAATTTTATGACTCATGACTTGACCTGAGAAAATTCTTGTTGACTTGGCTTGGGATTTGGAAATCCCGTGCTTTGCCCGGCTCTGTTCGATACACATGGAATGATTCTCTTTTACTAAGGCCTCAGTTTGTATTGTTTTGGGGTTTTGTATGAGAAGGTGTCATTGATAAACAACATAGTTCTTCGGCATGTGCTTAGTGTATCTAACTTTGAGTTAAACGATCTGCGCAAATTAAGTGCTTATTAGTTCAGTTACTTATACTAATTATCATTTAGTAAAAGCTTTTTAAAATTTCATGAGTATCATGTACTTCATTTTTCTTACGATCTGGGATAGTACTGGCATTGCTTGATTCCCTGGAGTCAAGTAATATCCCTGTCCACATCACACAACTGAGTAATTAGAGGGAACAAGTCATCTACTCTGGAAAATAGCAGTTTTAAAACTTGATATCTTAGACTGCTTTCTTCGTCTGCCCGCATTTTTCACCCCTATTTCGTTTATCACATGAAGATAATCAAAAGTTGTAAACTGAATACGATCCTTATATTCTTCTATTACTGCAGTCTACTAAGATAAGTGTCGGATAGTTTTTATTGGGAATGGCGCATGTGCTGTAATCGCCCTGTTAAAGTGCGTGTCAAAAAGTAATGAAGAAAAAATGCGAGAGTTGCGAGGATTACCTAGATTTATGTGACTAAATGAGTTTAAAAGAAACTCCATCTTCGGATCTTACCAAATGCGAAAATCATGAGTCTCACTGAATGTTTCATTTTTGAGTCTAATGTGACCTAAAATTCAGTAACCTCTGAATATAGGACTAAAACGTTTTTCATGAAGTGTAAACACGATGGTCTAACTTAGCTAACACTGTGAGCAAAATGGAGGCGCACAGTATGAGCAAATATGTTATGATAATGTAGATGGGTAACAATACTTGCATCAAAAAGAAGCAACAATAATCTGCAGTGTATTAACAAAAATAAACACGAATATAAAAAATGGAAAACATACGTATTTTACACAAAAGCGTAAAAAGTACTGTTAAAAAAACCAAGGTTGTCGTGGCTGAATCAATATTGTTTCATCTTCAGTATTTTGAATATAAAATTTTTCTGAACTAACAGCTAAATGTAATAATTGATTAAAGACATTAATTAATGTTAAATATTGGGCATCCAATGAAAGTTTGTGCTGATTTTTAACTAACAAAAGAAACAAAATATTATGCAATATATTCTGTCATATTCATCATCAGTTAAGAAACTTACCTAAATAAATCATCAGTTCAATAAAATTAACCGTTGATCTTTTTTCAAATAAATATTTATTTAAAATCGACCGTAATAAAAGAAATTGTTCTGTCTTCTTTCGATTTGAATCTTGTCCCGTTGTAGCTCCATTTAATAGTGAATTGATTTCAGCTCTAAGTGTCATATCAAACATGTCTTCGTTTCCATCCGTTGTTGTTGGAAAGACTAGAACAGTCGACGATGGAACATGTTGCTCTGTAACAATATCGGAAAATAACAAAGATGGAAGTGGTAAAGATTGATCATCATCGTTGTCGCTTCGATCTTTTGCAATCATCTCGTTTTTTATTGGAGTAGCAGTGGTCGAAGTCGAACGTCCATAACGCTGTTGAACAGTTAAATAATTTACTTTCAAAACAGGAGATAGCAAGCATGTATGAGTAAAATCAGACGGATAACGACATCCTAAATATAGACATGCATATTTGAATTGTTTTTGAATCAAATTAATAGTCAAGATCCTCTCGAAGCACTTGTATTTCACGTTTAATTCTAATCGAATCCAAATTATTTTGAAAGTAAAACATTATTCCTAGGTAGTTTTTCACAAAACAAATTAGACGAACATTCAAAAAACACGACTGAATTAATGTTTTTCTAAGAACTAACCTTTTGTAAGATCAATAAAATCAGATGCATCATAGATTTGCATTTGTATTTTTTGCTGCTGTTTTGGAGATATTGCTGTTGATGTTAGATGTTTCTTTTCTTTGAATAAGTTAAGCTCATATTCATTCATTTGTCGACGAAATAAATCTCGTGTTAAAAGTTGAATTTTTTCTTTCTTTTCCCGTATTTCACCGTCTACTAACAGTGTCTCTTCAAATGATAAACGACGATTTTTTTGAGTTTTTGATGGTGTTGAAGATGGCAAAAGAGACATAGTTTCCATAATTGCCGACGAATTAGAATTATTGGAAGACAAATCCACATAGTCCAGTTTAGTTTGGTGTTGGTGAAAAACTATCGAATGATCGTTGTCATCCGTTGATGGCCAATTAGTATCATCATCGAACTGACTTGTTACTATCACTGATGATTTCTCTTCGCTCATTTCGATTGATGAACAAGTATCAGGATGTGGTGACGAGAAAGGTTCTTGCTCAACTACTGAGAAACAAACCTAAAATACAATCAATATTTCAAAACACATTTTAGAAAAGCATCCCGAAAAGTGGGCGACACTTCCATAAACAACGTTAACGAGTAACTGTGCTATCTCTTCTTCACATTAATGTCTGAGATAACTAACCATTCACACTTCGATCGAACTTGACTTACTTCTGTTGCAGATGATGATGTTGATGGCTGTACAATAGGTAACTGTAGTCGTTGACGATCATTACGTACAATAGACACGGATTCTTTTTGTTCTTTCGACAGAAACATAAGTTCAATAAACAATGGTAGGGAATCCGTTTTCCAATATTGTCGACAATAAATATCTTCGGATGTTGAAATTGTATGACCGACATATTGTTGAAATAAATGTTGTTGAATAGTGATTAAACGATGATTTGTTATCAGAGATGGTTGACAGTCGCGTAAAGTAATTTTTGAAATATCATCACATAATTGAGATTGACGTAAACGAGATTTTTTGGAAACACGTTTTAGTTGAATATTGTCTTTCTCAGCTAAGAAGGTAAAAGAAAGAAAAAAAGAATTTTGATCACGTTTATATGACTACAAAAAGTCAGCTAACTCCTAAAGAAGATTAAGCATGTATAATTATCTCTCATATGATAGAGATTCTTGTAGAGGACCACTGACTCCCTCAATTTTCAATGAACAGCGGCATCTATACGATTAACGTTTAACAATATATACTCAATCGCATTACGTTCCCAAAAATGTTAGCATCGGCGGGAAATAATACTTATTCATTTAGCGTTTTCACTGTCATTCAACTAGTCGAACAAACATTTACACACACAAAGTCTGTTTACTACCAAATTGGTTCGCCAAATTTATATCAGAAATATTTTTATTTCGCAGTATTTCTTTCAAATGTTACCTTCACTTTCTTTCTCAGGATTTATATTATTGTTCTGATCTAATGTTCCTGAATTTTCATCTTTTGTTGTCTGATATTGTTCTTCTTTTTCTTCCTCGTCATTGCAACTTTCACCGTCCTCTTCTTTACTTGCTGTCGTTAAAATTCCTTGCATGAATAAATGAGCTTGTTTGTACAGTGCATCGACTCGACAAGAATAGACATGAGATGATGCCGATAGAAATTGTGCTACATCGATAAATTTTCGCTCATTAGAATCACCATTTAGTACTGGATCATCAACAACTTCAATGAGACTATCGAGAATTGAGAAATTGTCAAATGCATTCTTCGTTGTGACAAAATTAGGACGTTGGATAAGTTGAGCAACCGTTTCATAGGCAGACGATAACAATAGTGATGATTGAAGAGGAGATTTTTGTTTGGATAATAGAACAGCGCACGTAGATCTAAATAATAGAAGAGACAACATAAAACAGGATCGTTCATTAGTCTCAGATGGTATCTGCGCGCATCGGTCTCGTGGTAGTTGGTGAGATTCGCTTTATTTAACGTCTGTAGTTCAAGTTTATATCGACATCTCATTTCATTACATAGAAACATAAACTAATTTAAAGCAATAATTTGTATACACTAATAATTGTATGGTATACATTCCATGGAATATTTCTGTATGCTAGAGTTCCATGAGATTGTATCCTGAAGCGGACTGCACAGTAGTCTTCAATATACTGTTTACTAGTTATTTAAATAAAGATATTCCTTTTTTTGTCGATTAGATTAGGCAGACGCTTAACATAATCTATTTTATCGGAATCTTTTTAGACTTACTTTGGCATTGATTAGATATTATACAACTATTCCATATTATATTGATAGAACTGAATGTAGCTTACTACATTCTTTACAAGTGAGATAAAATATGTTATTTGTGTCTGCTTTTATTTAACTTTTTTATTGTTGTATGTTCCGTTATTCTCTATCCAATTACTTTTTTTCTATTCGTTTATTGCACGTGTTAGCTCATTTAATTCTTTTTCTATATCAGACAACTGCAACGAAAATTCTAGAGAATATATCGTCCGAAAAGATCAGATGAAAAAAAATGAAGGAAGGATCCCGGAGGGTCGTATCACAAAAAGACTTAAGTCAAAGTGTGATTTAAGTCATGGGAAATGTAGTTTTAAAGTTAAGACCGAAACCTTAAGTCGGACTTGAGTCTGTTAAGTCCTGTATACGTTGTTGTGTATATGTAGTTTATTCAGTAACTGAATGAGATCTCTTTTGCACAAAACTAGCGTATATTTATATCTGATTTTTACACGAAAAGGAAATGTACCCAGAGTTGATCTAGTAATCTGGGAAACTAGGAATACATGTAAGCGATCACAGAAAATAAAGAAACCAAGAACTAACACTGGGGAAATTCCTGACCGCAAGGAAGAGAACGAATATATATATATATATGTATGATACCTATCATACAATTCTCTCTTATGGCACGGCACGTCTTTAATATGTGCCATAACAGAGTCATTGACGCATTTTTTGAATAGATCAGGCGTTTAACGATACGATTCGACGAAAACGACATTCTAAAGATTAGAGAATAAATATTTCGTTATTTTGCGGGTTTTTATCCGAAATTTGTCACTGTTGTCAGCGACTTTTAAAAGGTAAACAAATTGCCAACTTAAGTCTTTTTCGTGATACGGTTTAAGTTTCCGGACTTAAGTTTTTTCGTGATACGACCCCCTGATCAGAAAGTAAAAAATACCGTTGAACAGAAGTACTACAAAATAGTTGGCTAGAGATTCTAAATTCTGGTTCACTGTTTACTTATTGTTTCTACTTCTATTTTTATTTGCCATTCTAATTGTTATTGGTAACGTACGACATCGTGGACTTGCACTATTTTTGTTTTTATTTAAGCTTTTTATTGAAAAAGAAAAAAGAACAATTGCACAAGCGGCTTTCGCCATATGTGCGCCTTAAAATGTATAAAAAAGAACGTATAATAAGCTTAAAAGGAGAAAGGAAGAAAAAGGGAAAGAGAAAGCTAACGCAAGAGATGGTCATTCGGGTTTTGGGATATTCACTTCTGCTGTTCTACTTGTACTGGCAGCGAGAGGAAACGGAAACTTCTCAGAATCCCACTGTTCGTAGTATATATCGGCATATCTCGTTCAGAATAACTTGACTCTCGTCCAAACATCTCCCACAAACTCCCAATAAACTAGCCACTGACACACAAGACAGGAAGCTCAGACCGGATAGTATACAAGTTTCGAACGTTTCATTCATATCATGGTGAAACAGATCAGAGATGGACAATTCCATCTCCATGATTGAGGTGTTTTACTTTTATTCCGATACAAATCCAAGTTGGAACTCACTCCTTAGAAATTGCTTTTGACTTTAACAAATAGAGCTATAGGAGTTCGGTTTTTAGCGGATGATTCCTAAAAATGAAAACTAATAACCCCATGAAATTTCATAAAATTTAAGCGGATATTATGAGGGATGGCAGAGTTCCTACAATTCTAGAATTCTACTCCTATACAGCAGAATTGAATATGATCCAGCAGAATCGAACAATGATGTCTACGTGCTTCTAAACATTCAATTCTATTACGATCTAAGCACAATTCTATTTCAATTCTGCTGTAAAAAATATTCAATTCTGCTTAACTGGATTAGTCTACTTACTTTTCCAATGATGAGACAGAATTGAATGTTTAGAAATACGTAGACCAACCAAGTTAAGCAGAATTGAATCCTTGTCAACAGAATTGAATATTTTCACAGCAGAATTGAAATAGAACTGAACTTAGCTCCAGCAGAATTGAAGAATGATGTGATAGAATTGGAGATTTTGACCTCGCATGGTTTATAAAAACATTCGGTTGCGATCCGAAATGTTTTATCTCCTACTCACTCTCATGCTGCTGGATCCATATTCAATTCTGCTGTATAGGAGTAGAATTCTAGAATTGTAGGAACTCTGCCACTGCTGGATATTATCCATTTTTCTCGTAAACTAACTTCCATATCCGCAGTAGTATCCGATGTCATCTATGAAAATGTGTTTATCCAGCAGTCAAGACATGATTTAGAAATTGTTTGTATGAGTCGAGAATGGAGAACATCATACAAACTGATATAAAATTTGGCCTTTCCAGGACTTTTGTTAGAATTTCGAGTCTCGGAGATGGAGTTACATCTATGTTAAATCTGTTGTTTGCCATAATGCAATATTCTTTAGGGTATTAATCACGTACTTTTCCAACCGTTCTTAAAAGCCATGTGTTCAATATTATAAATATATTATAAAAAGCATACTCAATATTAATAACCACCGTAGCACATTCAAAGGATAAATTCAGAACACATTTGGATGAGCGTACTAACATGTTCGTTTATGTTAAAATAATATAAAAATGTTGAAAAGAAAATATAACTGGGTAGTCTAATATCAAAAATACTCGGTAGCATCTCAACAAACCGATAGATCAACAAGACAAACCAGGTTGTGTGTAAAAATTTTCCAGTAGATTCTATTGATTTTTTGACATTGGCTGATGCCTAGAATCTCCTCTACAAAACGGGAGTGACGTGAGACCTTGATTTACCACGGTTCGAACGTTGTATCGGATATCCCACGAGTCCCAGGACTGGTATCCGGTGACTATTGGTAGGCTTGAAAGCTCGTGGATTATAGGCAATCGTTCATGCTGAGTCTCGTGGCAACATTTGTTTTTAGAAACAGTTTTAAGAATCTAGCGGAAAACGAATTTTTTTTTCGAAAATGAGAGTTTTCGGACTGTTTTGATATAATATTAAAAAATTCACTATTCGCTCAAAAAACGTCAGAACGAGTTGAAAACTTCAGCATATAGTTAATTTTGTTCGCTAAACGTAATTTGAAGATCGAAAAAATTGAAAAAGAATATTTTTATTAATGAGGTTTCCAGAAAGTCTTCGGAAAAGCTTAGAGTTTTGTAAAAGCTCTTTGTAAGTCGCCTATATATAGGATAAGAGCCTAAATACTCTAAATTCTGAGGTTTTGAACTGATTCTGATGGTTATTTATTTTTATATCTTCTCTCAAGTTGGCATTTTATAGATCTCTCACAAAAACGTTTTTTTAGACCTTTTGGTTTGACTAAAAACTGTTATACTATCAAAAGTTTTAAAAAACCATATCATACATCATTCATCCTCATTGTTGTTGTTCGTGGTTTGTGTCTGTTCATTAATTCCAAATAGATCTTTCGAATGTCGAATAGCAAATTCTTTATAATTATTCGTTTTTCCTAAATATAACGCTATTAACAAACCCATATATTTTGAATGTGATTTTTGTGCTTTCAGAGCATACTCTTTTCGTGATAAGTCTTTATTTTCGGTGTAAAATTGCTCCACAGTTTCGATTAAATGATTATAACGTGGTTTTACATATTCTTCCATTTTAACAATTATATCTATGGAATCGGGATCCAGTGAAAACATTGATTTTAGATCATCACTACTTTCATTAATAACTGATTCAAATAAACGTCGTGAATTACTGATATTATTTTTTGTGGTGTGTAACGTTAGATATCTGAGATTTTTGACTTTAACTAAGTATGAATTATTTTCATCCATAATAATTTCTACCACATAACCTTCGCCTGATTCTTCATTTCGTACGTCAGTCAGAAATATGTTATGATTTAAATTGAGTGAATGTAAACCCTCATAAGGTACAAGATGTTTTAATATTTCGTCATATTTATCATTTTGAGACTCGAGAAATTTTCTCAGTTTTGTTCCAAAAAAAGTTTCAGTAGTTGAATGACAACGTATTGACAGAACAGTCAGTTGATCGTCAGGATAAGAGATAACAACACGGTTTGTCGGCGAAGTATACTCCATATTCACAGTGTAACCATTTCTAACTAAAAAGAAGAATACCATAGATATATTAAAAAATAATGATTATACGTTACACCATCAGTAAAAATGATTCCATCTCTCAGATTAGCAAATTTACCCAGTTTTGTAACTTCATCTTTAAATTTTCCTGTGAATAACTTCGTTGCTGCTTGTGCTTGAGATGATGTTAGTGATCCTTTTGACTTTAAACGAAGTTCCTTGTTCTCATGATAAAATGTAGATATCAATGATCCATCCATTTTTGTCATCTTATCACCAAATTTGCCTAGTGTATGGTTACAGTCGCCTTCTTCATAGTTAAAAAATTTTTGTGGCGGTAAACAGACGAGTTGTGGTTGATCTGGAACTGTGATATCAAACATAATTCCTCGACATTCAATAGCATTCGCTTTTTTAAACGAACTCCATGTTGCGAGACGATAATTAAATATTCGATATGTACGTGTGTCAAGTTTGAAATCTTTAAAATAAAATCCATCGTCACTGGCAATTAATGCCATTAAATCAGAATATATAGACATTAGATCAGGAAACAATAAGTTGAAAGCAGAAACAGTGCGAGAAAATCGTTCTCAATAGAGTCGTTCAGATTGAAAAAAGTAGATATTTTTAAATAATATCTTTAATACAGTAGAAATGGTTGTATTTATATTACTTTCGAAAAATTCTGTTCTTTGTGCGTTCTTTCTATATAATTTACACAATACATTCTCATTGCTTTTATTTACAAATTGGGCAATAACCTTGTTTTTTGTCATTACAGCATCGACAGAATACTGATGATGAAACCAAAATGACTAACACGTAGAATTCCTTTGACTAAAGGTGATTGTGAAATGAGTCATTAAGGTAGCAAAAATAGTATACGCCATGTCAAGAATTTAACAATGATTGCAGCAGTTTTAAATTTCATTTTATATGGTGATGACATTTAACCTTTATTTGTTGATATCTGTTTCACCATGATATGAATGAATAGTTTGGTACACGTTCGAAACTTGTATAAATGAAAGTTTATGATAAAATCGCCTAACCAATTTTAACTACAGACAATATTAAAAAAGCAGTGGTTAATTAAAAACAGCAAAACTTTTGATATGGTAACTGTATTTGAGGACAACGACTTTCTAATCAAGAATTTAACAATGATTACAGCGTTTTATATGACGATGAAATTTAACTTCTATTTGCTGATATTTGGATCTTGATAACGATCATTTTCAAAACATAACAAATTAACTGTACAAGAATTACAAACTACAATTTCTTTTTTCTTTTTCTTTGCATAATAACACAGAACGAAAAAGAGAAAAGTTCAAAACACAACTTTTATATGCGGATATAAAAAATACTATGATATCATTAACAATACATTGATAGCGAAGTATTCTATTCGTTGACTATCCTAGTGGTATAAGTCTTTCGTCTCCTTTTGTTGTTTTTCTTTCTATGCCATCTGGAAATACATATAATGGAACGGACCGACCTGTTCCATTCAGGACAGGAGCTTCAGATCGAATTAGAATTGACTCCTTGACAAGTAAACGATATCTATATTGTTCTAAAAGCAAAATACGGTAGTCTGTGTTGTTCATGACATGTCCTGTACTCTGACAATGCTTTCCTATTGCTGATTTAGGCTGCAAGCCATTTGAATTCATATTATCATTTACATTTGTCAGTGCACTGAGTAAAATCTTCAATATCGTCCTTATCTATTTCTTGCACAGTTTTCTTCAGTTTATCAGTTTGTGATCGTGTTGCAGGCCCTGATCGAGATATAGTTGTCACTGGCTTTTCGATTATGTAGCATTTTTCATGATTTTCTTAGGCATGTTTTTGGTTTGTACCGCAGTCAATTTTTTCTGGTCTTTCAAATGTTCGTTTATGCGTGTCTTTAGTTGACGACATGTTTTTTCAATGTACGTTTCGCCATACTCCAACCATCTAGCTTCGTAGACAATGCCAGATTCCAGATTAGTCCGTATGGGATCTTTCGGTCTGAAGCATAACCCAATTTTCGAATTGACATCATAGATAATTCTGACAGTTTTTGCGGATAGATTCTATTTACCGTCGCCACAATGCGTTTACCATAAGTCGGACTACACGATCCAAAATGGGATATTCGAAATACTACGTTTTCAGTTGTACGTGGATCAGTAGAGTTATCAGACACCATTTTCTTATTATATTCGCATATAAAAGTTGTGTTTTGAACTTTTCTCTTTTTCGTTCTGTGTTATTATGCAAAGAAAAAGAAAAAAGAAATTGTAGTTTGTAATTCTTGTACAGTTAATTTGTTATGTTTTGAAAATGATCGTTATCAAGATCCAAATATCAGCAAATAGAAGTTAAATTTCATCGTCATATAAAACGCTGTAATCATTGTTAAATTCTTGATTAGAAAGTCGTTGTCCTCAAATACAGTTACCATATCAAAAGTTTTGCTGTTTTTAATTAACCACTGCTTTTTTAATATTGTCTGTAGTTAAAATTGGTTAGGCGATTTTATCATAAACTTTCATTTATACAAGTTTCGAACGTGTACCAAACTATTCATTCATATCATGGTGAAACAGATCAGAGATGGACAATTCCACCTCCATAATTGAGGTGTTTTACTTTTATTCCGATACAAATCCAAGTTGGAACTCAGTCCTTAGAAATTGCTTTTGACTTTAACAAACAGAGCTATAGGAGTTCAGTTTTTAGCGGATGATTCCTAAAAGTGAAAACTAATATCTCACCCCATGAAATTTCATAAAATTTAAGCTGATATTATGCATTTTTCTCGTAAACTAACTTCCATATCCGCAGTAGTATCATAGGTCCACGAAAAATTAAACATGTACAGTTGTACTGTAGCGTTATTGTTATAATAAGCAGTATGTACCCCTTTACGCCTTTTATTCCCTTTACTCCTTTTAGTCCTTTTAGTCGCTTTACAGCCTTTTACTCCTTTTAGTCCCTTTACTCTCCCTTTACTCGGTATTCTTGATAAATCATTAACTTTTCTCAACTCGACTTTTGTTAGAATTTCGAGTCTCCGGGATGAAATTACAGGAGCGATAGAGTGATTGATGTATCGAACACCAATATCTTCTTTCTAAACGAGAGTTATCTGTGTTATATAATCCGATACATTTCAGAACTCATTATCTTTTGTTTCATTGAAACCAATTGAATCAGCTGTCATTAGACACCAAAGCAACTTTATCAAGAGTAGTCGACTGGACTATAGTCGAGTCATCGTTAATATCAGTAACTACCGTAGCAGATTCAGAGGATAAATTCAGAATACATTTAGATGAGCGTACTGACACGTTCGTCTCTGTTAAAATAATACAATAATAACAAAAAAAATAGGCACAAAAAAATAAGAATATAAAAACAACAGAAAATCAAACATTTGATGCTGTTGCAGCCGCAGACGGATTATGAATCATTGTTTCTCCCAGCGAATCCAACAGTTCTTTACGATAATCATCAAAATCTCCATCAATCTCATTTACTTGGCGATGTTCAATAACCCACAATTGACAATCTGTTTCACGTATCAGTCTCTCGTCGTGACTAACAATCAATACGCCACCACTAAATGAATTGATAGCGTCAGCTAGTGCATCGATCGATTCTATATCTAAAACAGTAGGAAAATGTTAGTATTGTATTGTACACAGTTAGTTACATAATGAAGAGTAAGAAGTATTTAGCTTAAATGTTCTATCGTAATGAGATTATATATTCTTTACGAAATGAAAGTCAACATTTAAAATATGATTCTTACCAAGATTATTCGTCGGTTCATCCAGTATCAAAATATCCGGTTCACGTGCAATCAAATCTGAAAGAGCTACCCTCGCTTTTTGTCCGCCCGATAAATCTTTCATTTTAATTGAATGCGCTCGTCCCGGTAGTCCAACAGAGCCCAATGATTTTCTTGTATCTTGATACGGCATATTGAATTCTTTTTGTAAATGTTCAATAGCCGATATTTCTAAATTAAATTGCTCTCCGGCATGTTGATCAAAACGTCCAATATGTAAACGATGATTCCGACGAATTTCACCTTTGGTTGGTTCCAAAACACCCATTAATAGTTTTATTAACGTACTTTTACCTGAAACGAAGAGTAAAAATACAGTGTAAATACATCATGGAGATTACAAAAAGACTTACCAACACCATTGGGACCAACAATGGCAATTCTTGACTTCATATCAAGCCCAAAATTGAGGTCTTCAAATAAAGGTTTCTGTCCTGGATAAGCAAACGTCAAATTCTGGGTACCCAAGACAGGTGGATTCAGCGGAGGCGGTGATGGGAATCGAAATTTTACAATGTAGTCCTTTGGTTTTTGTAATAAATCCTTTTTATTCTCGGCATCATCTTCATAATCGGCAGTGTTTCTTCCTTTTCCACTCTTGTCTTGTTTGTTCTTTTTCTCTTGATCTTGACGTTTAACCTTTTTCTCCGCTTGTTTATTTGAATGACCATGATCTTTAAGTGCTTTCATTGCTCGCTCTTGTTTCTCATAATCTTTCAATTGGTTTAAACGTGTTTGAGTCAACATTTTTTTAAACAGCGAATAGTTACCTAAAACAAATCAATAAGATATAATAATCAAATTCATGTCTTGTTGATCATTAATTACAACATTTTTACGTTTCTATTCTCGCTCTATATAAGTGATACTTTGAGGAAAAAACATGAATAAGCCTTTACTTCTAGTAATTATTCTTAGTAAGTTTTAACATACAATACTGTAAAACAGTCTTACCTTTGTAATAAAATAATTTTTTTTGATCTAAATGTATAATATCTGTGCAGATATTATCCAAGAATGATTGATCGTGCGATACAACTAATAACGTCTTTTTCCACGATTGTAAATAATTATCTAGCCAAATCACAGCATTTAAATCCAAATGATTTGTCGGTTCATCAAGTATAAGCAATGTTGGTTCAATAAATAGAGCTCGTGCTAGAGAAATACGCATGCGCCATCCACCACTAAAAGGCGATATGTGACACGTATTCATGAACGGTCATTTAGTCATACGTACCTAAATGCTTTTGATGGGCGTTCAATCATTGATTTAGAAAAACCAAGGCCGGCAAGAATACTAAAATAATTAATTGAAGTTAGAATCTCGTGTTAACGATAGTTCATATCGATCACGACGCAGTCTGAACTGAACTGAACTGGAACCACCGATGTTCCACTCTTCCATTTTCAGGCGTCATCTCAACAGATGATAATCGTTCGAGCGATGATTATTCTCGTGTGCTATGATATGATGCTCTAAGTTCCATTCAATCAGTAGTGCAATCTCAGCAGAATCGCAACATTTATGTCAGAGGCGAGATAGAGTCCATAAATGGGTCTGACACGCTTTCCGTAAGCTCAACAGCAGCATCTAATTTATTTTAATTTTATTTGCCTCATCGCATATCCTGTTTGGTTTCATGTTTCTCATTCATTTAAAACCTAGCCCCAAATGGTACTTTTGATTACATTTGAAATAAGAATTAATAGTCAGATGCTTTACAGGAGTAGAGAAGCATAAATGAGGTTAATTAAAAAGCAAACTACTCGCTTTTCTAAACGGTTCTATGGTATATTTTCTTACCGCCTTGCCCTTGGTTCAGCTGAATCGGCTTTAATGGCTCTTAATTCGTCGTAGACATGCATCAATTTTTCTGTTAACACTGGATCATTTGTCACACCTTTTTCTTGTTGTAATTCTAAATCTTTTTGCTCCTTTAGTAAATCTAGTCGTTTTTTATCTGCATTCAACACAACATCAATTGCTCGTGTATCATCAGCTTGTACTTCCTGTTCACATAGTAACACGTCAATATTGGGAGGAATAGCTAATTCATAACTCGCAATATGTTTCAACAACGTTGTTTTACCTAAAAAAATAGAGAAATCAAATTTAATAATTAGCTGAACAGCTGAACGAAATAGTTCTTACCCATTCCATTGGGCCCGACAAGTCCATATCTTCGTCCATGTGTAATATTTAAACTAGCATTTTGAAATAAATCGTTTCCTCTCGCTGATATACTGAAATTATCTACTTTAATATCGAGAGCAGTTTCCTTTAATTGTGCCGAACGCGAGCCTTGTTCAGCTTGAGAAAGTGTAAATTGTTCTGTGTCATTACTCAGTGATGTTAACTTATCAAACTCTTGTTTTTTCAATTGTTGTTTTAATTCTTTCCGACTTAATTTTTTCGTTGTGGTTGCTGAAGCAGCTGTATCCATTTGTTCATCATCCGCAACTGCTAAAAACAGAGAAAAAAGTTTCAACATAAAAACTGGCTCCACGTTTGATATGATATTTCATTGAAATATGTCATTCCAGTCTGTTGGCCATAGGTAGTTATCATTTCTCAATAAACATGTCCTCATTTCGAAATGGAAAGGAATCTACTTAGATCTGTATGCACTAAAGATCGATAGTCAAAAAATGTATTTGAAGATCTCGTATTTTAGTTGTTTATTAAACGACAAAACTTTTCTAACTAACAGAATCTTTCAAATTTAAAAATTTTCTCTCCTTGTACGGCAAACATATATCTCGCGATCTAAAGCCACATTCACGCGACACTTTCTAACTTAGCTTAATCCAAATCGTAATCGAGTTCGAAATGACACCGTTCAGACGCTCCTGGGGATTGACCAATGTGAAATACTGGAAATTATCTTTTCGAATACTATGCAGGACGCTGTAAGAGCTACAAACGCGCTTCGAGCAGCGTGGCTCAGTCGGCTAGTGGGCAGACAACGTACTTCAAAGATACGGAGTTCGAATCCCGGCAACAGCGGTCGCGTGATAGTCTTGGACAAACTATCTAATGCTCATTGTCTCGGTACGTTTGGGCACAGGTGCAATGGGGTAACCCGATTTCAGTAACCATTGCACTGGAGAGATGAGAATTAAAGTTTAAAAAAAAAAAAGATACGCTTCGAACTGCATATATGTATAAGTTATTTGACCATAACGCATGTGTAGAAGATGTAGCTAATCACTGATTGATCGATGTTTAATAGGGGATCATTAACCGAGTTCTATAAACTTGGTTAACTTAACCAAGTTGGCAAATTGCCAAACTGAGTTCGTAAACTAAGTTACCAAACTAAGTGTGTTCACACGGGACAAGATTGGAAAAATTGGGAGCAGTGTTTTATCTAGGTTTCGTTTTTCGGATGGGCGGTTGAAATTTTTGGAGGGGCTGTTGGCCAAAAAAACTTGTGCTAAAACAAAATCACCTATTGATTTTCGGGAGGGCGAAGCGGAAATTCGGGTGGGCGCCGCCCACTCAGCCTACATACTAGATAAATCACTGATTAGGATTAAACTAAGTTAAAATGTGTCGTATGAACGTGGCTTAAGCGTTTTTCAAATCAATGGCTGGTAGACTGTTCTCTGTTCAAGTTTCAAACTTTCTTTACTTGTTGATGGTTGTGCAGTTATTTCTTCCATTTCGGATTTTGGTTCAACTACTGGCAATGATTGTTCATGAATTTCTACGGTGTTTTTAGTTTTTGTAATTTCACTTAGAACCTGTTCTTTTTCCATTTGTTGTTTATCAGTTTCATCATCAGACTTGTCAAAATGAACTGGAGCTAAAATAATTGAAGAAAAGGAAGTATAACTTGAAAAAAGATCAAGTTTCGCCTAATAGTTCTCCTAACTCCTCTTTGCCTTGTGAGATTTCATATGGTCTAGATACAGTTTTGTCCTCATCATCTGTCTCTACTTTTGGGCTTACTGTTGAAGGCGGATTCCACATGTTTGATTTATGTTGTGTCGAAGACTGAGATTTTAAAAATAATAGAACAGGAAAAAGAATTATTGCGATAAAAAAAAGTATTCGATCTCGCCAGGAATCGAACCTGGAATCTCCTGATCCGTAGTCAGGCGCGTTATCCGTTGCGCCACGAGACCACTAACTTAACGAATGTATTTTTCCATATAAAATAGTCAAAATACTAGTGGTTAGCTGTATGTGGAAAACACTAATTTTCCTAAACTTTCCTAAACTTCAACTAAAATATTCGTCAAAATGTGCTGTATTGCATGTGCATGCACAAAACGCACAACTTTTCTCACACAGAACTATGGGTTTTGCAGAAAATTTCGGTGTTTTAGATAAAATCTATTTTTCTCACGAGGGAAGGCCCCCGACTGTCAAATCGCTTTTGACGTAAAACTTAGTGGAAAATGGGTGACCGAGCATGCTGATTCCGAATATGACAATGATTTTTGCCAATGCGTCTTCGGAGACCCCGGTTTTTGAAAAACTGAGTTTTCGCAATGAAAAACTTTTTTGATCCGTACAGATGAAAGCGCATGCTCTAAAACCTAGTTCTTGCTCTAAAACCGAGATCTTCAAAGACGCATTGGCAGAAACCATCGTCGTATTCGGAACCAGCATGTTCGGTTACCCATTGTCCACTAAGTTTTACGTCAAAAGCGATTTGACAGTCGTGGGCCTTCCCTCGTCAGCCCAGGAACACTTTTATTAAAAAATAATGAAATATTTGGAATCAGTGCATAAAAGTGCATCGAATGATATATAATTTGTTAGTTTTACAAATAAAACACTTTTTGACGAAGATTCAGTTTTTTTTATCAAATTCGACTTTTTTTACTTCTATTAATATCTGACATATAGTAAGACTATATTATGGTTATATATTGCGATTACACACAATTCTGTTCATCGTGATTAAATATCGTTTATCATGACGCAAAAAAATTGCGGTTACACTAGAAAATGTTTAATCGCGATTACCTTTTAATCACAATGAAAGATAATCGTGATTATTTGCGTAGTGTAACCGTAGTGTTTGTGCGTAATAGATAGACTTTGTTCTGAGATGATCATGTCCTTCACGACCTTTATCAAAGACAACTGAAGGTTTTTCCATACTTTTCATAGTACTATGTGATGCACATAATCAGATCTTGCCCGTTTTCAGATTATGCAACACTAAGCATAGCTATGCGAAAAGTATTGTAGCTACAATACTTTTCACATGTCTCTGCTTTCTAGAAGCTCAATGACACCTTAATCTCTTAACTTAAAATTTTAGATGATTATAGATTCCAATGAATGTTGATTATTACCATTTTCCTATTTACTAGTTATTTACAGTTATTTTTAACTCAAGTTATATTTATATTAAACTTTTCCTCCAATTTTATCAGCTTTTAACATTCGGAAAATAATTTTAAACTCTCTAGTGTAATTACCTTCTGTCGCGGCTTGTGGTGTAGCGAGTACTGTTTCAACGTCGTCATTTTGCTCATTCTCACTCTCTTGTTTTATTGTTTGTTTTGCAGCTGACTTTTCTTTTTTCTGTTGCTGTTTACCACCACCAGATGTTTTCTTTTTCTTGTTGTCTTCTTCATCTGATTCGTCAAGATTAACTGAAATAAATAAAAAATTGCACTGCGTTGTTACAAAGTATTCTTATAATACTCAGAAAATCGATCTAAATAATATTAAATATATTGCAATGTACTTTGTGTAGTCACTTGTGTTGTAGCTGGAATTGATTTATTATCTTTTTTAATTTCTTCATCTTTCGGCTGTTGTTTCTCTGGGACTTTTTGTGATGGCTGATGTTGTTTATTAATCTTCTTCTTTTTCTTCTTATCTTCGTCTGATTCGTCATCAAAATTAACTGTGGCTAGAAATAACAGAAAAATGTTACAGGATTAAAGAAGCAGGCAAACTATTCTACATGAGAAATAGTGAGCCATGTTCTTTCTCAAATTCACAAGCTTTAATAGTTTTTCGATATATGAAGGATGAATGACCTGACCATGAACATCATAGGAATAAATACTTTTCTTCACTAGTTTATCTGTTGTGCTCAAGTCCGCTGTGATTTTTTTCAAAAACGATTAATTTTTCTTAGAAAAACACTTTAATAAATTCTGTGAATTCTTGAAATGGTAAATATTTAAAACTGTTACCTTGTGCTGCTTCAGCCGGAATTGTCTTTGGTGCTTCTTCTTCATCTTCATCTTCTTCCTCATCATTGTCTTGTATTTTAGTTTGTTCTTTTGATGGTAACTTTTGTGATTTCTTCTTCTGTTGTTGTTTTCCACCACCGGATTTCTTCTTCTTTTTCTTGTCTTCTTCATCTGATTCATCAAAATTAACGGTAGCTATAAAAATAACAAAAAAAAAAAAATTCAATCACAGTTGATCTATAGTCAGAACTGCACTAAACGTATTCTTAATATTCACTTTCACATACTATGAAGTCTGGCCAATAACGATAACAACAGTCTTTCACGCAAATAGAGTGTCACGATCAATGTTTTCTCTTATTAAGAACGATTCAATAATCATCTCAATTATAGTTGGCTGGGACCTTGTACCTGGCTTTTGTTTACATCATTCGAAATAGTTTGAGGCGTTAATTCTGAATGTGTTAGTTCGTATCGTTTAAGTTCTCCTCTCCCTCTTTTTTGAGTTTTTGAATTTCGCATTTTTTGATTTCTTGTGCTTAATAGAACTTCAAAATTCGAAAAATCCTTGGAAGGTTTCTTAGAATTCCTCATTTCTATAAAAAAATGGGAGCATAATTTAAAAATCAGACTCTGTCAAGTCTTAGCTATAGATGTTATCTGCAAATCAAAAACAAAAATAATCTTTCTCCGATGTATTGTTACTGAGCATTCTTGCACGTGGTGAAAGCTCTGAAGGTGAAAAACAGTTTTGAGAAAACATACGGTTTGATTCTCTTAAATGCGCTTTACTTGAAAACTATTTGAGTGTTAAATAATTTTTTGATACTTTTCTAGAGGTTATCGATCATGACAGATCTAACGAACATATGCGTCATATGAGTGCGCATATTCAAGCATAGTTATCTGAAAAAAGGGACATTTTTCAGTCTATTTTTTTGTGGTAGGGACTCTGAAAAACTCGCTGAAAAACCATGAAAGGCCTATACTATCGACACAAAATTTATGCCAATAGAAAGGAGACACTTTGGGCTATCGAACCATATGTTTTTCTCAAAATCAATATTTTTGGCGAAAATAGGAATTTCTGACCCGGCGGTGAGGCTTAAAAAATGCTTTTAAATAATGAAAACCGGATTTTCCGTAAAAAACCCAAAAGTTTTAGAAAACTCATTCTCCACCAAGAGAGTCACTAGATGTGATACAGGTAGAAGGATAATTGTGCAAAATTCAAGTGCTGGAGAAATTGCATAACCTCATTACACTAAAGAAATCACTTTTTGGAAATTTTAAGCATGAAAAATAATCTCTTGGCCTTAAACTATAAGTTCAATCCAAAAAGATTTTCCGTAATAAATAACCAAACGAGTTAAAATTAAGTATTTAAATCTTTTTTAAGTAAACATTCAATTAGCTTCAGAAAATACAATTATATGGAAAGGATCACATTATGCCCACTGTGTCAGAGATGGCTGATTTGAGTGGAAAATTTCAAAGCTGTTTCAAGGAAAAAAGGAATTTGTTTAGCTTGTAGTTCCACGTTAGAAAATTTTCGGCTCCTTTCTTGGCCATAAAACTCAACTATCTCCACTCTTACCTTGTGCAACTTCTTTAGGTGCAGCTATTTGTTCAATCTCTTCTTCTTCATCACTCTCATGTTGTTGTTGGTTTTTCTTTTTTTTGGGTTTTTTTCGATCTTGTTTTTTTTCCTGTTCCTCGTTCTGTACAGCCACTTCTTCAATCTCCTCTTCTTCGTCACTCTCATGTTGTTGTTGGTTTTTCTTCTTTTTGGGTTTTTTTCGATCTTGTTTTTTATCCTGTTCCTCGTCCTCACTTGCTACAGAGGCGTCATCTTGATCTTGTTGTTGTTTTTTCTGTTGTTTTGGCTTCTTCGCTTGTTTATTTTTATTTGCAGATGATTTTTGATTATCTTCTTCGTCAGAAATATCAGCATTTTTACCCTTTTTAGATTTTTTCTTTTTGTCCCCGTCATTGTCAAGTTCGTCTTCGTCGCCTTTGTCTAGAATGAATTTATAGCAAAAGAATTCGGTGAGGAAACCTGACATATAAGACGCTACGACATAGCTATTCATGGATAAAAGGAAAAAGATTCGACTAACTCATTATCAATCGACTAACCGTTCATTTTTTACGCCATAAAATTGACTAAGAATATACTGAAAGATAGTCGTTTATCATATAGTTGTGAATCAGTAAAAGCCCTTTGTAACAAAAATTTACCCACTCTTTCCAATGCTGTACTATAACCGTAGAAATTAATTTCTTACCTTTTTTCTTCGACTTTTGTTGTTTCTTGTTTTTTGAACTCCCATCATCTTCTTCACCGCTCTCTTCTTGTTTTGTCACTTTTTTCTTTGTTGTTGGTTTCTGTTCTCTTTTAGAGGAATTGGCTTCATCATTTTCTATCTGTAATTCCTCATTATCAGAATCCTGATGATGCGGCTTTTTCTGAGTTTGTTGTGGCTGCGGTTTTTTCTTCGCACCACCTCCCTTCTTTCTGTTCTTCCGTGTGTCATCATCGTCATCACTATCATTTTCCACTTTCAATCTATTTAATGTTTTCTCAATTTCTTCTATCCCTTGTTGACCTCGACGTTTTGACGTCATCTTAAGCAATTTAAAATCTAGAAAGAAACAATAAGCTTTAAAAACGTTTTCATCACTAAACATATATGGGTCATTTGAGCATGAGTTATCAAAAACTAATGTGTTTTGATTGTTTGGATAAAAAGTAATATTCATACATTGGATTGTCGTAAGAATAGCTTTTCTAACATATCTCCGTCTACTAAGTCGCTTGAGTTTCTATTTATAATATGAAACTTCACCTTATATATATGCTATAAAGAATTTCGCAAAACTACTATATTAGTCAGATTGCGCAATTATTGGTAAACGGAACAGAAAATTAAATTCCCTCTTCTATCCAGGTGTTTCCTGCTGGTCATTAATTTTTATGTCAAAGATGGTCATTGTTGAATAGTTCTTTCTTTAAAGGAAGGAAACAACAATAAGTCTATGCCGTTTTATGAAAAAAGTCTCTAGGTCTTGCAATATAAATCTGGTTCCCCTAATATTGAATTATCGGATCATCACAAATTTACATAACTAAAACCTTCTAGGTGGCGTGGCGCTGCTAAAAAAAATTTTTGTGTGGGATTTATGCTAAAAATTTATCACTTATGACGCTATTCACTGTATTTTACCAACAAAATGTCCGAGGTGAGAAAGACATAAAGCAACATAACATTATATTCGTCTTTATATGCTACTTTTAATTGAATGATTGGTAAAAGCTTTTAGCAAATAGAACATTAGAGCTCATCCTTCTTTTTGATGCGTCTTTGGATAACAAGTAAGCTCCTGCAACAACTGGCAGTCTGGGATATGACAGCAACATAAGTTACATCATAAACTTAAATACAATTAATTGTTTGTTCCTATGCGTCGTGATCGAATCTTGAACTCGCCAGTTTGATATCTGCAGATGTCTGTAGGATGCTTCCACACAGAGCATCTTGCCGCGAAAATTTCACTTTGCCCGTCGTGTAGAGCGTCAAAATAACCTAAAGGTCTCCCTTACGCTTTATTGAAAAAACGTGTGGAAAGTGGTTTTCTAGACACCTCAAGTTTTTGATGAAGGTGAAACCGAAGTCGGTGAAAATGAACGAAACACTGCATACTTATACATCAAATTTTTCGGAGCGTTTAGGAGAAATCGAGGTCAAATTTCAGGAATTTTTCAAGTGAATTGAGAACTACTCGAATATAAAGTTAGATCGAGACCAAGTCCTTCATCAGTAGAATCAAGTCGTCAAGAGCTACAATTTGTGATGTATAATTATGCAGTGTTTCGTTCATTTTCGCCGACTTCGGTTTCACCTTCCTGCTATATTTTGAGCTCGTCCAACACGCAATAAAACGACTGATATCTGCTAATACAGATATGGACTCCCACCCACGGAGAAATTTTTCAAATAAAACGACGGTGTCATTCCAACAAGTGTGGTTAACCGCGGTAACGACAAACCGCGACTTCCTCGATACAAACTGCGGTTTGAAAAACCGATGAAAACCACGGTTTTGAGAAGTCGCGTTTTGATAGAGTCGAGCTGCGGTGGTGATACCGGCGAAAACCGCGGTTTCAAAGGGATGCGATTTAAAGTGGGCGGACCTGTATGAAAGTACCCATATGCTACTAATTTTTCTCTTGTTTATCAGCGGAAGAAATTCAGTATTACTAAATTGCTCTCCGTCTTCATTTTTTATTTTTTCTTATTATTAGTTAAAAGAGACCAGTCTCTCTTGAAGAAGGCCGAATGCTCTTTTTTCATTGGTGAAAGTAAAATACTAATTATTTAATATCTTTAGCCGTTGTTCTTCTCCACGTAGTCTATTGAACACAAGGTTCAATTGACTTGCGACCACTAGTCGACATTGCCAAAGGGAAAACTATTAGGTTGTGAATGGTAAAAGTTGTAAAAAAGAAAACTCGTTGAATCAGAAAAGAGTTGAGTTTTAAGACTAATCATAGTCTCCTACAGACTTATAGTTTAAGTTATGATTATCCTGGTGAAGTTAAATCCACCTACTGAGACCCTGATCATGAACAACAATCGCTTCAGAAGGTTTGATTTTGGACTTGGTGACTAACGTTCGTTTAACGGATAATACGATCTTTGTCTTCAGGTATCTGTTCAGTTTAGATCATGATAAAGAATCCTCCTCCTTCTGAGCTTCTGGATCGGTATGGTCTGGTTCGATGTTTTCAATTTGTTGTAATTTCTACTGGTGTTTTCATTTGGTTTTTGTACGCATATCATTCTGGAAATGTGACATTCATTGCTATAAGTGCTGCAGTTGATGTTGGATTATTATTGTATATGGGATTTTGGAACGTGTATGGACATCCTACCGTCTTTTTTGATTTAAGAAAACGTAGTTTCGTCAATTGCATGATTCTTTCCATAACTAATGTAGAAAAAGCTGTGCCTTTATTAGCAGCAATATTCTTCTCAATCACTGCCACATTTTCAAACAATAGCTCTGGAATACGAGAAATTAATAAACCCGACAGCAAAACTAAAAGATGGCACAATGTGGATGACAACATTTGAATGTTTAGGTATTTGGACACTGATGTTATATGGCAGTCTGTTGACTGTTGGCTGAAATAATGAAGTTTGGGAAGCGTTCACAAAGAAAAGAAAAGTATTATTTTCGAATATAATGTCTTTAGTGTATTTGAGCAATAGGTGAGTATTCAGTACCATATAAGCAACGAGTTTAAGTTTCCTATGAATGCGCATAGAAAAACCTTACTGTAGAACAAGCATCGCTGATGCCTACTGTTGTTATTCCTGTTTTTCTAGCTTCAACTTTCTAAATACGATATTTTAAGGATTTATGATCTTAGTAGCGACTGACGCGAACCATGTTTAAATTCATATGCCAGTTGGACAGGTAAATTGATTGTGTTAATAAGCACTTTCCACATAGATCAATTAAAAAACTAAAGGAATTTAGAATGGGTCCAGCATATTCACCAATAAACCCATCAAACATCTTCGAGCTTGAATGTGGCAGATTCTGACAGATGTGATTATACCACGATACAAGATGCATGTGGCAATGAAAATCTTACGCAGTGCCCCTGTTGTTCCAAATATTTTCGTCCCATACATATTGCCCATCATAGAGATGCTGTTTTCGCGCAGTTTCAACAACTGCAAATGTTAGTGCACAACAGTGAAAGAAATCGATCTGATTTTTTGTTCCATAGGTGAATGTAGCCAAGTAATGCTAAAAGTAAAATCATATTCTTTAAAATTGGAGTTTTTTTAATGACTAGTTTTAACAGTGTTTTTTCTAAGATTGTAGCCGTTTTCTTTGTCCGTTCATTCGTTTTTGTTCTTATAGCTTCAAGGTCGTCGTATGACTATAAAGTTGAAAATACCAGTTGGTCTGATACATACACAATAAAACGATTTTTATCCAACCATTTAGATTAACTTAATTTTGTGCTTTACGACGATTCTACAGTTTGAGCACCACCCTGACAATCTGGATTGTTGCTCGTTGTTTTTTTGTATTTCTATACGATGAGCTCTGTGATCCTATTTCTTGCGCTAGACAACAACTATTATATGTTTTCGGTTCTTTGTTCCAGATACATATTCTATTTTTAAAAGATAAATATGGAACAAGCATGGCCAGAAGAGGCAGTCACCGTTATTGAATATAGTTTGCTAATGACATTTATAATTGCTACTACAATTCTATTAGGAGGCTGGCTGCCTAATGTGATGATATCGACTTAACACCAGCGTAAAAATAGTACTTATAATTGTATGTAGAGATCTACCATGGCTGAACACATGTTTTGATTCACTTACTAAACAAACACGTTTTCTAACACATTAAAGCTTGTCAAAATATGCGCATTTTTATGTTCATTTAATATTTGGTCACAAGTGCTTGACTCGAACAGCTCAAACTGCCATTTTCTGTGACTTCTCTTCCATAATGGTGTTTTATACGCTAATAAGTGTTACCTCTACTTTTGCTTGGTATTTTTGGGTAGTATCGTTACAATCCTATTACAAATTTACTGTCTATAAACGAAAACGAGCAAAGTTTTACGCCAAACTAGCGATTCTTCTATTATTAATTAATTGCCTTATTATTGAATCAAGTTTATTTCTAAACTTTTCTAAAAACATTTGATGTGTTAAACTTAAGCTTTAATTTGTTTAAAAATTAATTCCACACGGGTATAATGATCAACCCTATCTTTGGGATAATAGTTACAACAACTTTGAATAAGTCATTCAACTTATTTAATTTGCGTATTACTTTTATATATAGGAGTTCACTGAATTTTTTCTATTATCACATGTTCCGTCACATTTCTCTTTTTCAGCTGTTCTATACCAGAGCTGGAACCGGACCGGTTCAAAAAGTCAACTGGGACGGTAGAGATCGGTATTTCACCGGTTGAAAGTTTTGAAATATCTGCTCTTTTTACCCTAGTTTTCGTCAAAAAAACTAAAATTTCACGTCTTTTTCAGTCAGAATAAATAACACAGTGCTCGAGACAGATATTGTTTTCATCACTTGTTTTAAGGTTAAATCTTATAGACTCGTTATTGTGAAGGTTATCTCACATGTACTCGCAAACTAATTAATTTCTGGGGAAAATTCTTTCTGAAAAATCGATTTTTAAAGAACTTTGCCAGGTTTTCGCCGGTTTGAGTTATAATTCCAACCGGCCGGACCGGTCCGATTACACTTTCAGGTTTATCTTTTCTCAACCGGTTCCAGCCCTGTTGCAGAGAAAGATACAGAGATGTTTATAAATATCGCTATTGATTCAGTTCATCTCTAAGACTACGTTCACACTACAAACTTTTCAGAGTTAACTTCAAGAGCGTTCATACCTAAACCTTAATACACCAATAACATTTACAGATGAAATGTTCGATCATACTAGAATTACAAGTTGCAAAATCCTATGCATACAGAGATGCAAGCAAATAAAAGAAATGCATTAATCTTTCGTGCATGAGACGGCGAATGCTCATGGACTAGGATAATCTAACGAGGAA